TGTAGAACAACAACGAATGTTATTGAAGGGCTATACGTTTATTTTCCATAGAAATTAATACTCACCATATTTAATATGTAATTTCTAAATGAATTTACGTTAATTCATTGAACTTTTTTATTATGAATTTAGAATATACTAAAGAACGCAAAAAATATGGAAAATATAAGTTTTGAATGTTACAAAAACCATCAATAACAGCAGCTTTCGGTTCCCTGAAACTTTACGATTTATTTAAAATACGAAACAAAATATAAAACAACATTGACAGTTTAAATGGGGAAAAGTTTGAAATCGAGAATGGTTCGTTACGAAATTGTAGATTTCGCGTGTAAAGTGTAACGAAGCGCGTAGGTTGTTCGTGCAACCGTGCAATACCATCACTGTGCTATAAGTTGACTATGAAACGCGATATTAATGGAATGAATTTAGAACATCAAAAACTTCGAATTTCCCCTGGAATAGACTTGGAATCGTTTCAGAATCGGACTTTTATGTACGTTAAATACTAGTCCTATATGGGCACCAGCGAAATTGAATTCCAAGCGGTTCGTTGAACGAAATTTTGACCTCGTTTGTCACTTCTTCTATCTAGAACTTCAATAATTAAATTGTCTAAAAGTTAGAGACCAAAAGGTATGAATTAAAACATTCTTCTATATCTTTTCTATTTCTTTTTTTCTTAATTGCGGTTTATTACCCTGAAATTTCTGTAATTTTGTTAAATATAAACTAAAAAATGTACATATACTCATGCAAATTAATATACAATTATAAAAACCGAAGTTAGGAACCAAAAATTAACACTAAAACTACCATTGGTTTAACAATACGCAAACTGAATTATAAATCAACTAAAGCTTCAATAGTTAATAATTAACTTCAATAGTTAATAATTAATAATTAACTACTGGGTAGTATTAGTGTTAATAATGTATTTATTAAAATTTCCAAATTTTCTTTTTAGAATTACCCGAGGAAATTAACGCTGCCTATTTTGTATCCGATTTCACGCATCAGACAGGAACCGTTGATTGTTCCGACAATTTATTCAGCGTTGTATTAATGTTCGCAATTCATCCGACGATAAACTGATCAAACCCCATTAAACTAGCAATTTGCACTGTTTAATCTATACTGAATACGCAGACGTACGCGTGGTGTTGCCGCGCAAATACAAATTCTTACGGCCCATTGGATCTTTGTTCCTCGAGTTTGCGGATTATCAATTATATTGGATTAGTTCCCAGCGCGTTCCACGGTTAAAGATCGATCAGTTTCGTTTTGATTTATCAACCAATTTACTGATTGCATCGCTAACTCGCATGTAATTATTCGTTGATTACAATTCTCTAAAGTAGGGTATAAATCAAGTGATCGGTATTTTACTTTTGTTTCTATCGACGTACCGATAAATTTAGCGCGATGATTCAGCAATGGTATGTTGGATCAAATAAATTGGATTTTAATGATGTACTTTAAAGAAATTACAATTAAACAGAACAAGAATCGATCGAAGAATTAATAGAAGTAAATAATCGAATTAATGATTATCTTATTATTCTTAAAGAGATATATATTCTAATATTGAAATTGCTTCTCGATAATAATGAACTTAAATAGTATATTGTTATACATACTTTGTCAAGTACCTAAACAATTCTATTTCAGAAACTAAATTGGAATATATAATGCTAAAAACTGGGGAAATGTTATTATGCAAAAACATTCACGTACTTCGAGCACTCTTAACACTAGGTTTACGGATATTTATTATACGGTTTATTCTATCGTTCTCAGAAAAATTAATGTTCGTTTAGATCTTGGAAACTAGCGATTTAAAAATAGACTATTAGGATATATATTCGTCCAATTCAATTAATCAAAATCTATATAAACGTTAGCTACGTTTATAAAATTCTATATGCGTTAAATTGACCTAAGTGTTAATATAATATTTATATTATTATATTGTATTATACACCATTATGTATTATATATACTAGTATTCTAAATTTCATTTCAATAACTAGAGTGATACAACCAATAAAGATATCTCAGAAAATCATAAATTCGATATTCCATTGAAAAGCGATTTCCAATGCATTAAAATACTGCATTGTCCTTTCATCGGCGATTTTCCAGATTTAAAATAAGCCTGCACATTACTTAATCAATATAGTCGGATGCCCGGGAGCCGAGCTGCCTGTAATAAAAGCTTGAAATATTCTGATATGTTCGGAATCAGTCAAATGAACCGACGCAACAATACATTTTAAATAGCATGTGTCAATATTCATCGAGAGATCCACTTTGTTCTACTTTACTTTAACCGTAATGCTTTGAAATAAAGCATCGTATCAAGCGAAAAACGAACAATGCACGAAATAAAGTATGTAAATTTTTTATTATCGAAAATAAAAGACTTCACGCTCGTGAAATATAAAACTCACATTCGAGATGGCGGAATGCGATAGAACAGGCCTGTGCATGCACGCGTTGATGAGATATTGTTTGCGCAAACATTATACGAGACATGATCGAATATACCAACCCAAGTTACTTTCAACCGACCGATCGATTCCGTTAAAAATAAAGCGAAAAGAGAACAGTGAGAAATTAATAGTTCATTAAACCCAATAATTCCGGTTCAAGAGCCGTTGCTCATCTCGAGTCTCCCGTTAAAGTAATTCCGTTTATATACTTTCCTTGATTATATTAGAACATCCTAATGAGGCAAACACTTCCTCTTGGCGCAATTTATCGATCTCGAATGCATTTTAAAAGACTTCCTTCCTGTAAGAGATTATGAAATTTAATATCTTCATTTGTTCTCTTAAAGTGTAATGTTTCCAAATGAGTATTTGAAACCGATTTAGACGAAGTAAATAAACTCACAAGGTTATTTTAAGCAGAATGGCGGGCAAATGTTATATGAAACGGGACACTCGACATTCAAAGAAATGGATCAATTAGGTGACTTTGTAATTTTATACTATCTAGAATCTGTTTGTTCCAGGAGAACGAAAAGATAGTTGTAGGAAGACGATTGAAAATAAAGGTAACTGTCTGAAGATGGATCTTGAATAAACTGATAATTCCTTGAAAATGGGAATTTTTATTTTTTGGTGTAACAATGGTACTTGTGAAATATATAAATAAAGTGTACGGTTTGTTTGAGGCTGTGATGGATAGGAATATTTTGATAAGTGTCCAAAGTACATTTATCAGAAATAAAGTGGTTCAATCAATTGTGAAATCAGGATATTGTAAAGTTGTGAAGTCTAGGAAAAGAAGATACATGATGCAGATGAGTTTGAAAAGTGGCAGAAAAGTTATATAGGGTCGTAAGAAAAATGGAGATGGATGATGTCAAGAAAATGCATGGATAATGCTCTGCTTGACTTGAAGTAGGAAGTCATTAAGCCAATATGTAATGATTTATCGAAAATTGATGTACTACATGTTTAAACAAGAATACCGAGAGAAATTATGACAGCTTCATCAGTTTATTCTGATATCTTATACTCAATTATATAATATATACTGTGATGTTGAAATTATTTAAATTGCTACATTTAGTAAAAGCAGTTAATCCTTGCTTAAGGTAATTGAAATTAAAAAAATAATAAGTAAACCAATTGCTATAAATTCTGGATAAATTATAGGAATCAAGATAAAAAGACGAACAAATGACAAAAGGATAAGGATTATTTGCAGAACAGCTGTCGTGTTGTCAAACGTTTTCTACAAAAAAATGAGGATAAATTATGTAGTCCTGGAATAGTTGATTAATTGAAAATTCTATATGTTGTTTTATACTATATTAAGTATATAAAATCTTCTTGCAATCATGAAAAATAATTTATCTTCCTACAATCGTGGGTTCAACTATGTTTAGCTTCTTCGATATGTCACTGATAAAAATCTATTGTTACATTTATACAAGAAAATTGTGTCATTATAGTTCACGTGATATGACATTAAAAATTAATAATCATATTTATTTAAGTCTTACAAATACGGTTACTAATTTTTTATTTTAATTCGGACGATAGCAACATTTATATTGATTACGAATGTTTTTGACTTTTTGATTTGTAACAACGATAGCAATCAGTATTCTATAAGCTGCAGACAACAATTCTTATAAATTCTATAGCTTCATACAAAATAAATACTTTCATTTGAAAAATAATATTGCACACCCTTGAAATAAATATTAATCGATCCCTAATCTTAGAATCCAAATATGTAGTAGGGTTCTTTAAACTAATTCTCTTATCTTTTTGTTGTCATAATAGGCAAACATTTTAAATCGACTATAGTTCATTTGCCAAAATGTTTACCTCCAAAAATTAAAAAGTAAAGAAAATTGATACATCAAAATAACTTTAGTACTTCGGCATGAGACTCTAACAAAATTTTTAAAGTAGATTCAACTATTTTAACCTACTAACAGCTCATTTATTACACTAACAAAATATTGAACAAAACTGCACGTAACAAAAAGTAATAATAAACAAAAGCTTTAAATTTCTCAGCTTCTCAGAAAACAATAATCCAAAAAGGCACCCACAAAATCAGCATAAACGAAAAGCCATTCAACAAAAAGTAACAAACGAGAGTCTCAAATCTCCCCCATCATCCTAGAAAAGAATAATCCAAAAACCCAGCCTCAAAATCAGCGTCGAAACTGGAAGATCCTCCATAAAAGCGTCAACCGATTCAATAAAACCGTCAGCAGGGTCGACCCGATAATTCCAATAAGATTCGGTTAGTTGAATCTCCAACGCCGCGATTACCATCCAATTAATGTCCGGCAAACATAATTCCCGTGGCAGATTCTTATCCGGCCGAATAGCGGGGGCGCGGCGGTAAAGCGATTAATCGAGCGTGGTCGCGGGGTAGCAGCTCGTCGCTGACGACGAGAGGCCCGAGGCGTTTCCTCATCCCCTCTCTCAGCGTCTACCAGTGTCTCCGTCCGTCTGCGAACCTACCCCGTCCAGAGGACAAATTCGATTCCTTCGCCGCGCTGCGATCTCATTGCCCTCGCCGCTGATTCGATCAAGGCCCACGGCGAGTCGCAGCTATAGTCGCCGAACTCCCCGGCCAGCCTCCTGTCGAGCCGTATCCGACCGCTGTCCCCGCTGTTCCTCTTGTCCCAGCACACTGAAAATACGAGCAAACGAGCGGTCCGTGAATAGTGGGGCGTGGAGCATTGAGAAACGCGGCCGAATGAAAGAAACGAGCCGAACGAAGATATGTACAGTCCTGCTCTCACGTTAGCAAAGGCGACCCCAGGTTTAAAGGTGCACAGGAGCAAGGGAACTTTTCTACTCAGGATGCTCGGGCCACCTTGGCCTTGAACGCATGGTCATTATTAACGCGCGACAATAAAGGACGGAAGCGAGACTGAATGCGACGGAGTGAAACGAAAGAGTGAGTAGTTGATTCTATAGTGAGACGGAACTATAGAGAATTTTGTTTTCCATAGTTGATTTTATACTGAAACGGAACGATACAAAGTTTTATTCAGTCTCGCTTTCGTGCTTCTTTAAACCGAAAGCCAATAGAACCAACGTGAGTGGCGTATAGTATAGTTTTGCTCTCACGTTAGTCAAGACGACCATAGGTTTAAAAGTGCACAGAAATGGGGAAGCTCTTCCACTCGTAACGTTCGTGCCGCCTCAACTTTCAACGCATGGTCATTATTGCCGTGTGCCCGTAAGGACTACGCATCAAAAACCGAGGCGACTCGAGCATCATGAGTAGGAGAATCTTCTTACCTCTGTGCACTTTTAAACCTATGGTCGCCTTGGCCAACGTAAGAGCAGGACTGTACCGTGATGAAGGATGTGGGAGACCGAGTGACCTTTAAGGGAGCAAAACATACCGGACGTCGTCACGTACAGCCTCGCTAACGTCGAAATGACACGGAGTTAGGGGCTACGCTGGCGGATGGTGGGTCGGGCGTTGTATGGGGACGCAATTTGAGGTACCGCTATGTCATGCAAACCTCGTGCCAGCCAGACACGCCAGGTACTTTAAAACGATCGGTAAGTACCGGCGGGAACGAGCAGGATATAGGCTCGATGCAGGGAAAACCGGAGCCCGAATATAAAAGAGGCTCGTGGGCTACTGCTCGTGAATGTTACCAGCTGCGGGAGGGCGGCAGGTGGGTGGCAGGGTGGAATGGAAGGACGAAACACGGTGGATGCGTGCATGCAGGCACACCGTTGTCGTAGAGCGACGGCGAAACTACTTACTGCTAGCTGCGTTTCCCTGGGTGGAATACTTCGGATCATAGTGGATGTCGGTGATGTGCCAGAAATACCCTGGAAGCAGAGAAACGAGGTCGTACCTTTCGCGTTTCGGCTTTTATTTGCATCCCCGTCGCGTTGCATTTGCATTCTCTGTTTCTTTCCTACGGTTACCCTGTAAACTGATGTAATGTCGCACCGGATGGACGACGGTGGTAGTGGCGTTGGCGGTGGTAGTGGTGTGGCAGCGGAGGGACTCGGTTCTCTCTGTGAGCACTTTGTCTATGCAATCACGAAGCGAGACACGGCCGTATGTCCCGCGGAAAAGGGATGCAAGAGACACCCAAAGAGAGAACCGATTCCCGTCTGCGAGTGGAAATTTCCGGGGGACCCGGTTGAAATTGAAATGTATTCGATTTCTTGATGTAGCCTGGATTGTTTTAAATTAACCGGAGTGGCCCGTTCCGAAAGAGCAGTCTGGACAATGCGCGGGCCACTTCGCGAGGTAATTAGAGCGGAGATCGATCCGATACGGAGGTTAAATTTATCAAAACAAATGGAAACCGTGGCGGAATACGAACGCGGCAGGTACACGCGAGCTTTGATTGTTTTATTCGACGAGATTCTTCTTTATTAACCTGTTAACCGAACTACCGACGCTCTCTTCAACGTTTTTACTTTAGTTTGTTTCGCAATTTTTATTTGCAGAGAGAACAACGCGCAGTGGGTATGGAGTGTTTCTTTTGATGAAAAAAGAGAACGTTGGGAATAAGAGGATTTTTGCTGAGATCGAAAAGTAGGAAGCTTTTTGCGGCAAAATTTTATGTGATTTGAAAAATAATCATTGTCATGATCATTGAGATATAAGTGACGTGAACGTTGTTGTTTGTAATAATGTTTCTGTTGACAACAAATTGATTCTTTTATATTAGTAAACACTGAATGAACATTTGTTTGCTTCTTTGTTTATTGTTGGTTGAATGTTTTATTCTGATTAAATGTCAACGAGGTTAATACGATAAGGTTAATGAATACGTATTTCTGAAATTATTTTTATGTTGTAAAACTAAGTATTGATTAGCAAGAAAAATTGAATTAGCAATTCGATGGATAAAAATATTGTGTTTTTTTTAGTGCCTACATTTTAAATGTCGCAATCGATATAAGTACGTCAATTAAGGGGATACTAGGCCGAACATAAATTATTGTAAATTCGTTATAAAACTTAATTTTTTATTCAATATCTGTCTGAATCATAAAATTTGGAATATAAACGATATTAGATAATAATTAATATTCAATGAAAATTTTCTTATATATTTCAGAGAAGCATTATTCATTATTCAACAGTCACGTTTAGCTATTGACGGTAAAAGAAATAATTTATCTTAACACAGTTACAATTTGTTTACATTATAGCTCGAAGTTTTTGAAGTATTTAGTTTATAAAAAGAAAACATAATTTTAACATGATTTAATATTTCAACTTTTATATGATAATTAATGTTAAATATAGGGCTTTACAAAAGTGAGAAGACTGTAGTTATTACTCTACATTTATACAAAGTTACTCAATAGCTTTAAACAAATTTTTTAACAATAAAGACTATATAAAAATACTTGAATCGAATATATATTGCTCATATAATGAATATCTCAATATTTCAAACATTAATTTATTTTTTGTTTAAAAGTTTTCAATTATTTTATCGAAAGAGCATATTAAATATAATAAAATATAGTAAATGTGAAAACAAACAATAGTATTAAAACCGTTAATGATAAAAATTTACTTGTACTCAAAAGTGTTACTTCTATTAGCTTTTATTATTTATCAATAATTCATTGTTTCAGATATCTACTACGTAAACTAAACAATTGAAGCTTAAATTCATTTTAAAGTTTAAATTTCAAACTGATTAAAAATCTTTCTCTATACTGAGCGGAGGTTTCAATTAGTAACTATTTTCAGTTACTGTAACTCAATCAATTTTAAACTTAGCGAACTAGCATTAGTTATATTCAACTATTATAATTCACTCATATGAATCCAGATTACATCAAGAATTTAGGTCGACGTACAAGTATGTGTGTGTTAAAAATTCATTTGAACGTTTGTATGCCAAAAATAAGTTCACACCGTAAATGGATTATTTACGACTGTTCGTTTGGTTTCTCATTGAAATTTATGACAAAGGGACACTTATAATACTTCTGCAGGAAAATTCAGGAAATTAGGCCGAAACATTACCCGTCGTTTCACTCATATTATCGGAACGCTTACGTGGCGCTTGTTTCGTGGTAACTTGTTCACCCCATCCATAATTAACAGCGCCGAGAAAAGTTAACGTACAGCTGTCGAATAAATTTCCTAGTTGCCGAGCTCAAAGAACATCGACCCACATACGACAGAACTTTCCCCGTTTTGATAATCGACCGTCGGGGATTTGTGTTTGTACCGCATGAGCAATGTCATACATTAAGCACGTATGTACGTACTACATACGTACACGCTGCCGCAATCATTCTCGCCACTCAGAGCACGATGGCATATGGCCGTCTAATGGCGTTCTAACGGCAAGAATCATTAGAGCATTGTGTACAATGTCTCTCAATGAATCGTGATGTTTCTAGGGCTGATTAATTCACCGGCTAACCGAAAATTCAATTGACTCGCATTAACTGTGCCATGTTATACTTCACCCGTTTGCATTTACATACTAAGCTTGTCGTGTCACTAGACGACAGATGATATTTAGCACTAAAACTACCGGACGGGATAAAATGACCAATTCCTGATTTCTTGCAATTATTTAAAAGATAACAGGTTTCTCTGAGAAATTATTCAAGAAATTGATTTAAAAATATGCAAACTGAATTTTTATAGAAGAATTGCGGAAAGCCAATTTAAGTGTTCGGTAGGTTTAGTGTTAACCCTTTGAAATCGAAAGGCAACTCACAGTTGCGGTTTGGTTTGATATAGAAAAATGTTGAGATTCGTTATTCCATATCAAGTTGTATGTAATTAACACTAGATTTTGGAAGCGAAACAATTTCAGTTATATTGAATTTGATAAACGTTATTTGATAAATTGTTTATGTTGATTTCGATTGATGCAACTACGTGAATATGTATACTAATTGTCTATTCTTAGACCTATAAGTTCTAAGATCTAAATGAACGAATATCAATTTTTTTAAAAACGATAAAAAACTGTGCAGTAAGTGTCAGTGAATGTAGTGTTTATCTTGAAATATTGAAATGAAATAGTTCTATCTCTTGATTTGTAAATTATTTCTATTTAATACAGCAATTAGAGTAATTTAAGTAGTATTTCTTTAGAGAATAATGTATACTAAAAAAATGTTCGAGTTCACAGGGTTAAATTGGAAATTTCCTTTAATAAATTATTTTAGAAAGAAGAAAAATATATGTTTATTAAATTTATCAAGAAGTTTTTCTGTTTTTTCTCTATAAAAGCAAAGAATTTTTCTAACTGTAAATTAATATTGTCGCTATGTAGTGGGTGATATTCACAATGAAATTTTGCTATAATAAAGTATTTTAGAATGTAAATATTTATTAAATTTATCGGAACGTTGTCCTGTTGTTATTTGTTCTTAACAAACAAGAAAAGAAAAAGAATCAAGCCTTGCTAAGTTACTGTTTAGTGACAAATATTCAATGTTTAAAGGTGTTGAATATGCATCTGAACCCCAGAAGATTTACTGGATTAATTATTGAGTGACTATGATTCCTTAATCGATATATCTGAACATATTTTGGAACTGAAATGAAAATTGTATCCAGTCCAGGAATACGACACTTGTCATCTATTTATGTTACAGGGATTTCCATCTGATATTGACTAAAATACAGTATGTACAATGCACTTTAGTACTTGATATGTTTACTGACCTAATTTCGAAGCGCAACTAATTTTTTAGCAATCTCAGGCAGTTATTTATACCTTTCCTAGTTAAGTAATTATTTTTTCTTAAAGAATAATTGTACAAAAGTAATATCGTAATTAATTAATTTGTTCGCAATGTTTATCATTCATACAGTGATTTGAATGAAATGATTTAAAATGATAAAAAGTAATACATTTACAAGAAAAATATATTTTAATTATTCGCGAATTGAAAAGTCCTTAAGATTGTCAATGTATAGGTAGAATCTAACAACGTGTAGTTACAAAGTCAATCTAACGTTCAATCTAACAAATGGATTATTAATTTGAAAATAGTGTACCTTTTCCATTTTCGTTTTAATAGTGAAGTTGAAAACTTTCATGCAGAAGGTATTGGCAAACTAGGAGAGGATAGCCATTGAATTCCAGAATGCTATTAAAATTTGTGACATAAGAGGTACGAGAAACGAGAGAGAAACTCTCCGATAGATTTAATGAACCGACAGCTTCATTAATCTTCGTTAAAATTTTCATTTCATTACGCTATGCACGATTGCACATTCTGTGAACGCATAATTCACACTCCGGTTATAACTCTCAGAAATTAATTCACAATTTGACCAATTTATCAGCCCTAGAAATGTCTGTCCATTCAGCTCGTTTAATTCGTTATAGGTACATATGTATATAAAGATATGTATATATATTTATAACTGAAATGAATTTCAATTATGAAACATCCTAGAGATATAAGCCAACAATAAAACTCCATTCAAATTAAAATAATTCAATTATTAATTAATAATAATAAGAATAAAATGTTTCACTAAAACTCGAACGTTTAAATACCTTCATTCAATTTTCCTCGTAAAAAATATATTTTAAAAAAATCACATCATAAATTAATCTCGATTTGGGTCGAAAAAGACCCTACGGCCTGATTAAAATTAAATCGTTTTGAATAAACATATTGTTTCTATGGACAGTTTATTTTTAAAATTTCAAAACCATTGACATTTCTTTGCGTGAAAACAAACATATTTATATTTCAGTTTATATATATTTTTAGAATACCAAAAATATGATGTGTTTTTAATATTTTTAATAAATGTAAAAACTTGCCAGACTCTTTAAGATGAATAATGAAGATTATAGTCTATTGGATGTTACATCATGTATTTTGATATCTTGATATTAAACTCTAATTATTCGATCCATATCTTGCAAAGTTTCTTGGTCATAAAGGTCTTCTTCCAAATTCTTTCTAGAAACAAATTGTAATGGCACCTGATTTTTTGAATGTACTGAACATAATGTTCATCCATTACATACAATTCAACAATTTGTAAGCCTTTGAAATCCACATACGCCGAATTTAATAAAATTTTTACACAAGGGTTGTTTATTGTACTGACATTTAACATGTATTTTTTCATTGATAATCGTATACCTTGAAGAGGTGAAAACAATATTTGAAATTAAGGTTGAAAATATTCTGTTTAATTATTATATTAGAGAATTAGTACAGAAGAATTTGTTTAAAAATTATACGATTTCGCAAATGTTAGGCAACTTTTATGTAAACTTGTGAATGCGTGTGAATCAAAAGGAGAAATATGAATATTTTTTTTATTCTTTACGATGTAAACAAATTTATTACACACATTGTCCTCTCCACTTTGCGCGATGACATGTGAAAATAAGAATTCCAGAGACACGTAACCACCATTTGAATTCACAACTCACAAATTTGCATAAAAATCGCGTACAATTTGCCAACGAAAATGACAAAAGTTACAGAAGTTTTTCATATATTTTTAAAGCATATAATTTGCTTTTTATTTAATTATATTATCCAATTACGAAACAATCCAAAAAAATATATTTCCAACTTTGTAATATGAGTGACGATAAAAAAATATTATTAAGATTATCCTGTGCATGAATTTTATTAATATAGACGTATGGGAATTGATACCTGCCTAGTATTACGCTTGATAATAATATAAACAGTCCATTTAATAAGAAAATCGTATACACCTGTCCATTTAGTATTTCACAATTGAAATAAGATTTAGTAATGCGATTATTTAAAATACCTTTGTAAAGAGAACGGTTTCACAATGCTTTTTAATTACATTAGAGCTTGATGATAGTGATGAACAATTGCAGTTGGAATATCGTTCACTGTTCAACCACACAAATACCTTTGACGTTGCATTTGGCTTCATCAGACAGGATAACGTTTCTATTTTCTTCCGTTGCGCGATTAATCATGAAACGCTGGTACACTATCAAATCCTTCCCGGAATCATAAAATAATCACACATACATCGAGTTCATATGTAATAGGCCACATTGCAACATAGAATGCATTGAACGATCAATGTTTATTCCTACATCAATTGAAAGAGCATCACAATTTGTAATTCCCTTTAGATACCGCACTGTAGCGGAATTACACTGATTTAAGCACTTTTTTAATATTTTTAATATTTGAAGGATTTTTATGATCAAAACTCTAGTGTACTTTCACGTGAAAAATACTGATAAAAATTAATAAAAATATGATTCTAAAGGAGCAGACTCACTGATTCTTCTAAAATTGTTTATAGTATGTTCTAAATATTTTCTTTATTGCATTATTTCATAAGTTCAGTTATGTAATGTAAAAATGTATTCAATAAAGAATTTGAAGAATTGAAAAAGTAAGTACAATATTAAAAAGTAAAAAATTGTTGCTAAAGTATCCACATATATTCTTAATTCCTACGAATAAATTTTTTAAAACGATAATTGCTTTTACAATTTAATTTCGTATTTTCTATTTAAAGGAAGGAAATAATATTCATATTTATTGAATTGAGTTTGAACTGAGATCATAAAGGAAGAGGTGAAAACCAATGAAGGTATTCAGATCCTGCATTTCACTGAAACATCCACTATTTAATTGGTATTAAGAACAATCTGTTATCTGAAAATCAAACATACCCGTCAAAGATATAATTTAAAGCTCTGCATCTACACTCGTATGAATACAGAACAAGTTAAACGTGCTGACCAGAAAATGATATCGAGCTGATGTTGCAGGTGTATATAAAACTTCTGCTAGTAAAACGATGATTTATATAAAAATTAAGAAAGTAAATATTTCTAAAACCGAAAGAAAAAAAAATATATACACACGCAGACACAACGATCTTGTCTTTCATTTCAAAAGTGATGCTTAACACTAAACGTACCGACACTTCATAATAATCTATTTCACCATAATCATTCAAATAATTGGTTATAAATTGGTTATAAAAGGTTAACAAATTAGACAATACATTTTCTAACAAGGAACGTTATCTAATCCAGAAATTCAAATAATTATGAAACATTATCTGTAAGTAGAGTAAGTCGAGTTTAATGTATCGCAATTCTTTTCCTGCTAAATTTTACTTTGAAGGGTTAAAACCACCCATTGAATAACTCAACTTTTTCTTTCCCGTGAATAGGCAACAGTAAAAAGTAGCCGATAAAAATTTAAGTAGAAACATTGTTCCTTCACGCATATAACATTGAAAAATAAAATGTTCAAAATACCCTAGCCACCAATCCTTTCCGAAAAATTTTATTTTTCAATTTTTTAAACGTATAAGAACAATGTATCTTTTGTCGAAACTTTTTTCGCTATCTCTTATCGCCCTCAAGATAATCTGCGGGAAAGAAAAATTTGCATTTTTTTCAAGGAGTAGTTTTACCCCTGCAAAGTGAAATTCAGCATGAAAAAAATTTACATTATATTATGTTACTGGCACCAGAAACAAAAAGAAACACAAAAATTGAAAAACCGATTAATCCAATAGCATAAGAATTGTCATGAGGTTAAATGGTCGAAAAAGCAGAATTTTAAATCAAATTTTAATACCGATCATTTGACCGGGAACGATACGTTTAGTGTTAATTACCCAAATAAAAAGCCAACCTATCCAATAGTGCGAAATCGACGCTGTTGACGTTTCAATTAAAAAATTGCAACAAAAGAGAACACGAAGAAGTTTCGTTTTAATCTGAAACATCACTTCGACAACGTCCCTGTTACAGAGCGCACGAGAGCTCAGCGAGAGGTAAGGGTTAACTGGCACAGTTTTACGTACACATGCATGCATTTACCTATTTTCCCTTGCACCGCGCACAGCCACGAGAGTATCATCAGATAGTCGCGGATCATCATTCCGGGATTGGATCTGTAATCACGTAATGTTCGCATAAAAAACTAGGACGAACTCGGCGCCTGTCAAGCTTAACAGAGTGAACGTGCGAACGATCCGGGACAATGATAACTCCCATTGTCATCGAAACGGTGCCGCGAGGATTAACATAATTTCAAGGAACCTCGGGAAACCAACGACCGCGTTGCACGGGGTCTTATGAAATTTCATGAATCTTCCGCGTGATCTGTCGCGACCCGTTTCAACGACGGTGCCGGGCGTCCGCAACACCGGCATTCAATTTTAATCTCGAATTTAATTTCGAAGATCGACGATGCGTCTTGCAGGTCGGAGACCCGTTACGTCCGCAACCCGATACCTTGAGAAACGCTGCTCGTAAAACAGTTTACAAGGCTCCTTCAGCTGCAACGAGACACCGTAAAAACGTCCA